GGGTGGCCGGGGTGGCTGAGGGATGTCTCTGTGCTGCAGCAGGGAGCAGCAGTTCATTGCCAGAGCCTTCTTCCCACTCTCCCAGAGCTCCATGCTGTTTCTTCAGAGCAGTTTCATCCTGTCTCACGAGCACTTGGAAAACCAGCAGATCAACCCCGTACCTGTTGGCCGCCACACATCGGAAGTAGCCCGCGTCTCTCTCCGTCACCCCTTGGATTTCCAAGGTGCCATTGGCGAAAACACGTTTGTTTCCTGCAGACCGGCGAAGAACTGTGTGCTCAGGTAACACCCAGCTGACAGCAGCGTCTGGAGCAGCCGCGGAGGCGCAGGGAAGGTGGAGCGTGCTGCCCAGAGCAGGTGACAGCCGGGCTCCGTTGACCCCGCCGTGCTCCACCAGCGGCTCCAGCACCGTGATTCGGAAGGTGAGCACGTCGGCGTCGCGCTGGTTGGTGCTGATGCAGTGGTAGAGCCCCGTGTCGAACACATCCGCTGTCCTCAGGGTCAGCACGCCGCTGCTCAGCACCACGATCCTGCCGTCCTCGCTGATGTGAGGGGCTCGCACTCTGCTGCCGTCGGCCAGCAGCCACTCCAGGGCGGGGGCTGGCTCCCCGGCTGCCTGGCAGCCCAGCTCCACCGTGCCCCCGACCAGCACAGCGTGCTCCGTCTGCGTGCTGTTGTCCCTGGGAATGATGGCCCAGCTCTGGCCGCCCTGGCCTTTGCCGTGGCTGGGCAGGCTGAGCTGGGCGCGGCTGGAGAGCTGGACGTGCAGCGTGCTGAGAGTGGTGGCCACCCTGTCCAGCTGCAGGGCCACTCGCCTCTGCATCAGCCAGGCTGGCTCGGCCCGCAGCACCGCCCGGATATCGGTGAAAACTTCATCCTTCTCACTGTACACCTGCTTATACTCGTAGCTAATAAAAGGCACGTGGGTTGCCTGCACGGTTTGCTCCAGCTCCAAAGGAGAGTTGCTGTACAGTGCCAGGATGCTCCAGAGCTGCTGGATGTGTCCATAATCGATAGCACACACCAGGGATGCTGAGAACGAGGTTTTGAGCACTGTGCTGTGGCCGTTTTTGTCAAATGAGATGGGTGACGTTTCTTTTGGTTTCTGGACATCGCAAACCAAGTCGCCTCGATTTCCTGCTTGGTCAGTCAGATTCAAAACCACAGATCCTATCGGGGCTATCAAGTCCTTGGGAGACACAGAACTGAAATCTCCATCATCTGGCACCGTGAGGTTCCTGGATTTCAGGGAGTCATGGATGACTGGCTTAGTGCAGGTGAAAGAAGCAGAAGGAAGATCCCCTAAACTTTTCCCATTGTGATTTTTGGGACCAGCACAGACTGGGCATTGCTGAACACCAGAACTTCTCTCTTTCCTGCACTTTATAACATCTGAGGGAAGAAAACTTCAGTAAGCTTCTGTGCTACAAGTTTTAGTATTAAAAATGACATGCAGCTACTAACCAGTGGTTCTTCTGAATAAGATAAAACCAAGGCTTGAAGTGACTTATGAATGGCAGCAGAAGAGAAAGTACTAAAAAGTTTTCTTTTTAAAGAATCAAGTGAAAGTGGCCCTTGCTCCTGCCAATTCCATAAAAGTTAGCTTGTTCCCTCTGGATTTTCCTGGTGCACAGAAGCTTTGGACTGGCCAAGGAAAATTCTCTGTTAAGAAAACTGCACTTGGGAATGTGTTAAATGCACTAGATCAAATTAATCTGGGAAATGGAGTGGTATTAATCTCTTTATCCTGATTACACACCCCTACAAAACTCCTATCTTCCTGGGAGCCTTTTCTGGGAGAATAAATAGATGGATAAAGGACAGTTACCTACATCAGGAAGAGTGAGATGACACAAGAGGATTAAAGAGCATAAACAAAGCCTTCAGCTCACCTGGTCTGTCCTGTGCCCACTCTGCAAACCCCTGCAGGCTGCAGTCACAGGACCAGGGGTTTCCATGCAGGTAAATGCTCTCGAGCTCTGACATGTAGGAAAACATTTCTCGTGGAAGTGAGGTCAGCACATTGTCAGACAGAGAGATGTGCTTCAGGAAGGATATTCTGAATATTTGGTTGTAGCGCAAGGTGACAAAAGTGTCTGGATGCAGCTGCTGAATCAAATTTCCATCCAGGTGGACCAGCCTCAAGGAAGTGAGTCCATAGAAAACATTGGGATTCACAAATTCAATGTGATTGTGGTCCATATGCAGCCGTACCAAGCTGCTCAGGCCATAAAATACATCCTGCTGAAGCACTCTCACCTTGTTGTAACTCATTTTTAACACCTGTTCATGAAAAAGTAATAAATGCATAATATTAAGCCATGTTAAAGTTATAGGACCCCCAATAAATGCTGCTGAAGGTTGCTCTGTGCAGTGAAAGCTCTTCACCAGATCAGGAATGCCAGGGAACTGGAGTTTCTTTAAAAACTGTTTATATGCAGTGTGCTAAGTTTCTGCACAGTTTGGCTTTTTTTTTTTTTTTTGCACGAAGGCTAGAAAGGAACAGGATTGTACTGTAGGAAAAGGGAAATCTCAGTGGAAAACAATCCTCAGAAAGCCCCAAACTGACTAGCAATTTAACAATGACAGGTTTCCTTTTTCAGATGCAGTAGTTAAGCTTTGCAATCTTTCTCCTCTGTAGAAAAGGAGCTTTGACTGCAGTTTCCTGCTAAGATACAGCTGAGAGATATCCACCAATGTGCTTGTCATGCTCTTTACCTGTACCTGAGTGCCTACCTGGGAAGGAGACATTTTCCATTAGGAGACTGGATTTTGGAGGCTGTTGACTTTCACATGAACGAGGTAAGAAACAGGAAACTGAAATGCTGCAGAAGGCTGCTCTGTATCACTGAAAGCTAAGTCATGACAAAAGTAACACTGGGTCATTTAGTTCTTACCTGCAGTGAATGTAAATCACTGAACACCTTCCCAGGGATGGTGCTGATCTCATTGCTGTGCAGCATCAGTATCTCCAGTTTCTCCAGGCCAGCAAAGTCCGTGGGGCTGAGTTTCCTCAGGCTGTTGTAGCTGTATGGGATGGGTTTAGTCAGCCCCAGCTCACAGCTTTTAAATCCAACCAGCCCAAAACAAAAGAACCACTCTTTGAGAACAGCTAAAGGTAAGCAGCACTTCCTCTTGCCAAGAGGAAACAAAGTCATTCCTTCGTGTTAGCACAAAAGGTGGTCACTTTTCCAGGGCAGTGACTGATGGCAAATTCCCAGTGGATGGGGCAAGTGACAGCAAGCATGAAACACATCTGTGCTCACTTGCTACCACTTCAATGAAAAGTTCCTTGTGTATTTTCTGCAGACACATCTGGATGGTTGGAAGGTTATGTGTATCAAATATTGCTGATGGTTTCATCATTTGATTAAAGAGAGAGGACACTTGCTGGAAACTGCTTGAAGGGGCCAGACAAGCCTGGGTCTGATCTATTCCCTGCTCCTTTAACCACACAGAGAACAGAACCACCATGGAGGCTGGCAAGGCCAGACAAGTGAAATTTCCCCTGAACTCAGCAGATGAAAGCATGGACCCCGACACTGTGGGACCTTCCAAGTGACAGGATCACAGAACAGGCTGAACTGGGAGGGACCCAGAAGGATCATGGAGCCCAGCCCTCAGGTGAATGGCTCACACAGGGATCTAACCCCGACCTTGGTGTTACATCACTGCAACGTCTCTGCAGATTTTAATACATGTGCTCCTTTTCCAGTCCACTTTCTGAGCTCTGAACTGGCCTTTCCTGGAGAGAAATCTATTCCAGACTTCTTCCCTGCTACAGACACCACAAATTCAGGTAATACAAAGGAAAGTTAAGTTCAAAACTTCCTGAAGTTCTCGTGTGCCCTGTGCTAGACCCCAAGATTTCTCCTTTCTGTGGGTGGTCTCAGGCTTTGCTGGCTGCGGCTGCAGCCGCTGCTGAGCACTGCAGAACATGAAACTCTGTAGCCTTACCTATCTGATGACTCTCTAGCCCTGAATCGGAAGGTTAATCACTGCTGTGCCAGGTGTAGAAAGGCCAGCGGTGTGAGCGCTGCACGTACCCCAGGTTGATGCGCTGCACGTCCGGAGGGATGCGCGGAGGGGCGGCGCTCAGGTAGCGGAAGGTGCAGTGGAGCTCGGCGGGGCCGGGGCAGGCGCAGGGCCGGGGACAGGCGCTGATGGCCGGCAGGGTGGCCAGGCAGGCCAGCAGGGTCCCCAGCCAGCGGGGCCGCTCCGTGCCCCCCATCCTGCGGGGATCCTACGCTGCCATCCCCGGAGCGGCGGGCGGGTTCCTGCAGGGAAACAGAGCACACGGGCACTCACAGCGCCGCTCGGGTTTAACCCGTTAGCTGAAAAGAATTCTTAACTTGAAAGAGAAACCCGCCCACGGACCAGCCCCCCAAACTCTCGGGTTTCCCCTCAGCGAGGGATCTGTGTCATGATCTAAAGCGCTGTCATTTCGCAGCTGCCCCGCTTGCCCCTGTCCGGCGCGATGTGCGGGAGCTGCCGCTGCCAGGAACAGCTGGAACCGCGCCGGGATCCCGGGAGCTGCAGCGGTGCGGGCCGTGCGTCCCAGCCCGGACCTGGCCCGGCTCTGCCGAGCGCTCCCGGCCCGCCGGCGGCTCATCCCCGGGGGCGGCTCCACACGTCAGCTCCTTCCCCGCCAGGAGCCATTCCAGCCCAAATTAACTCATTTCGCATCCCTCGCACAAACCCTGCGCGCCTCCCCGGCACCGACACCGGCACCGGCACCGACATGGGCACGGGCACCGACATGGGCACCGGCACCGGCACCGGCACCGGCCGCACGTTCCCACCTGCGCGATCCGGGGTCGGGCGGGGCAGGGACAGACCCGACACAGACCCGTCCTCCCGGGGGGACAGCCGGGACCCCGCAGCCTGACCGGCACGGGGATCGCTGCGAGGGGGGACGGGAGAAGCGCCCGCAGCCGCCGCCTCTCCGGGGATGCTGCGGGACCGGCACGGCCCGCACGGGAACCCCTGACGGGAACCCTGCATGGGAACCCTGCGTGGGAACCCCACACAAGAACCCCACACAATAACCCCACACGATAACCCCACATGGGAACCCTACACTGTGACCCCTCACAGGAGCCCCTCAGGTGTGTCACTGCAGGGCAAACCTCCTTCTGGGAGGGGTCCGACGGGAGAGGTAAAGGCAATACAAAATTTGGTAAGGTAAAGCCTCAAACAAGTTTTTAAAGGTTCTAAAATTGTTCAGACGGGTTCAAAGTCCAGTGTGAGCTGTGGGAGTTCAGGGGGGCTGCAGGGGTGGGGTGCTCTGCATGAGCCAGTTAGAGCTTTGGAATAATAATGAAACCCATGGAATTCTCTGGCTGGTGTTTGTTATCATCTCAGTGAAACACGGATGGTGTCACCTCGATTCAGCACGGGGACTGGGCCAAGGAACACTGACCCCCTCGTGGGACTGGCACTTTGGGGCTCAGAAATAACAACAATGCCTCAACTGAGCCCTGCACCAAACCCTGAGGTGGAATTTTTAGGTGCTACCCTGAGAACAGGGAAAATCTTGCCAGCCCACGCTGGACTCTGCTCCCCTGAGTGCTGGAAGGCTGTGGGTAGGTGCATTTTCTCCATCTTCATTACTGTCTGAAAAGCAAAGCATCATTGCTTTCCTTCAGTTCATAAATTTTTTTCTTCTGGATGACAGAGGTCAAGGATTCTGGAGCGACACATTCCAATGCTGAGCTTCTGTGAGTTTAAACATGAGGTAAAAGACATTTTTAAATTATTTGTACCAGTCTCCATAATTTGTAGAGATGGTAGACAAGGAACTGAAGTAACTTCTAAGAACATTTTCCAAAATTACATATCTGAAAAATTGCGTTAAAATAAAAATCAAATATTTAAAATGTACGTGGACCTTGTTAATATTTTAAGAACAGGGTTTTCATCTCAGGATATGCTGTCTGTTGTCACTAAGCTGCAGCTCTCACTTCTGAGAGGCAGAGCATTAAATTACAAGAGATACAAAGCTCTCCCTCGGGAAGGTGGCTGAGGAACATGTGGAATATTTTATTATAATGTGGCTGGGATTTCCTGGGGCGGCCTTAGGGAGAGCACAATGGTTGTACAAACCCGAGCTGAGCTCGCTGCTTTGCTGGCAATTCTGGCCCATGTCTGACTTCAAGACATTGGTTTAGCTGGAATTCATTACTAGGGAGAATGAAGGGAGCTTTTTGTTAAGTGAAGCTATATTTTGGCAGGAAAGTGTGACTGAATGTGAGCTCAGGAGAGCTGAGTGAAGGAAGTGTTTGTGAACTGGATCTGCACAGCAAATCGTACCTGTCAGAACTGGAGCACAATTCCTGCTCATTTTCCACAGCTCCATTCCTAATGTGCCTTTCTGTGGAATGACCTGGCTCAGGAGGGAAGGCAGAGCTGCTGCCCAGCTCGTCCCTGTGCTTTGTGTGCAGGGACCTGCCCAGGGGTGCACAAACACCTGAGCTGGCACGAGGACACACCTGTTGAGGGAGGCTCTGGCTCTCCAGGTGATCTTCAGCTTCCTCCAAGAAAATCGTGGTGGGGCTGATCCACAGACCTGGGATCTTGATAGAAATAGTGGATGATCTCTTTATTTACAGGAGTCAATAGAAATTATATTAAGGAGGCCGAACACAGCTTTGGAGAGCACTACCCTGATGTGTTCCATGCAAATGGGTTTTTTTTAATGCAATTCCAATCTTAATTAGGTATCTGAAATACGTATCTGGGTTTTGTTTGATGATATTTGGTTTTTAATTTGTTCTTCCATTGCACACATTGCCTGTCCCTCCCTCACCCCACTGTTCCTTTGTGATACAGCTCCAGCTGTTTCCTAGGCCAGCCCTGCAGGTGCCTCTGTTCCTGCAGTTCAGCATTCCCACTCTGCCTCAGTTTATCCCTCCTCACGCTCTCTCTTCTCTCTACATTGTGCCAATTCTCCTTAAAGGCCCTTTGCAAACTGTTTTCATGTTGTTCTTTTCCTTCACAGCTTCTTGCTGGCCAAATTCTTTCAATGCCTCGGTGGGTTGCTGGATGCCTTGAAAAGGATGACATGACCCTCCCAGTGCCTTGTTGGGAATTTTCAAAATAGCACACTTAGGTACAACTCTCCTGTTGCTCAAGGCCACAGTCAGACATTTCAGTCCCATTGTAATGAGCTGGACAAGCTCCCAACAAAGCAGCAACCACTTCTGGAAGCATGGTCAGCGTTTGGAGCTGCTGGTGTATCTGTGCAAATATTGATTTTGGGACAGGCAGAGCTGTGTGCGTGGGCAGAGTGGTGCTGAGCACAGGGCAGGGAGTGCTGCACTCCAGGAAACCAAGCAGCACATCAGAGGAAAGTGTGCTGTAAAGGGGCCTGGGCCACAGCTGCCTTGCTGTCCCCTCCTGACCCCTCCTGACCCCTCCTGGGCTCCCTGGGCTCCCTCAGGCTGGGCTGGGGGCAGTGCAGCTCCCCCTGGGTGGGATGGGCTGCTGTTGATGTCCACACCAGGTGTGAAGGGCCAGGGACCCCCAGGGCTGCTGCTTTTCATCTCCATCCAGCAGGGATGACCTGGGCTCTGTAAATCCTGCACAGTGTGGGCAGCCACCCCGAGCTCCTGCTGGGTGCATCCCATCCCATCCCATCCCATCCCATCCCATCCCATCCCATCCCATCCCATCCCATCCCGAGCTGAGACAGGTCGGGATTTCCCTGTCTGGAAAGCTGTGACACCTTTGTTGTCACATGGGCAGGTGTCAGAGGGGCCATGAAGGGAGGGGCTGTGTGTCCCTTCAGGTCACAGCGTTTAACCCTGGCTGTGCCTGAGCGAGATCTGCTCTCCTCATTACTGGGGCAGCTCCTCAGGCAGGGTGATCCCACGTTTGATCTGCAATGACTCCCCCAGGTGTCCCTGTGCTCCATCAGGTGTCCCTGTGCTCCCAGGGACAGTTTCCTCTCCTGTCAGCAGGGACAGGCACCTGCAAACCACTGCAGGCACTCCTAAAGCGTTTCTGCAGGTGTGGGCTGGGTGCTTTCAACACTCATCTCAAACATCAGCTGGAGTGGTTTTTCATGGTTTGAATTGCAAAAGCAACACTGAACCACATTTTAGAGTCTTGCTCTCTGGAGTTATTTTGTGAGGGTGATTAATCAGGCACATTCCTGTTTCTTGATGGCTGCTATACATCATGGATTTACATCCATGGGATAAGGCAGCAAGCTTACAAATCCATGGCCCCCATGACCTATAGGTTAATGCAGTAGTTAAAGGAGAATGCTCTGCAGTTCATTCATTCTGCAGTTAAAGTTCAAAGAACCTGAACACTTCCCAGCCAGCTGAAAACAAACCAAAAGCTGATCTTTGCTGCACAATTTTTGCTTGTCCTGGAATATCAATTTGCCATCTGCTGAAGAAACCCCCAACAAAAATACCTCACCAACCCCACCCTCACCCAAGGAAGGCAGCAGATACCTCTGGGTAGGGGAGATGAGGGATGGCTGTTTATTCCCAAGCTGCAGGCCACAGTGTGTTTCTGAATTATGTTTTATTTCCCAGTGACAATTAAATAAACCATTTCAAAGCAGAGTCCAGGTGTCAGCTGCAGCCTTTCCCCTGTTCCCCTGCCCCTCTGGTTGGTGCTGCTCCCGGTTTGTCAGCAGCTCTGACCAACCTGCATTATTTCCAGGTGTCAGAAGGGTGAGGCACAGGTGCTGCCAGGCAAACCCCAGGACTATTTAAGGCAGGCACAGGTTAGCCCCTGCTCGGCTGGGGTGAGAGTTCTCTGCTCTGAGTCCCAGTTTGGGGCTTGTGATTGAAAACCAGCAACAGCAGGGTGTGAGAAGCCTCGTGAATGTCGGAATTCCTATATGAGTCTCCAAAAGTCAAGGTCAAGACTAGAAAATGAGAGTTCTTCTGGGCTGAGCTGTGGGGACAAGGGAAGCAGAGATGCCTGTGCTGCAGGTAAGGAATCCTGAATGCTGCCCTGGGCTCTTCATGCTGGCAGCACGGGGAGCAGGAGTGTGTTTTACCCAGAAATGTCATTTACTTGCTGAACTCGCCGTGGTGGCTCACACAGAATTGGGCTAGGCTCTCCTCAGTAAGTTTAACTTGCATTAGAAAACTTTCCTGCCCTAG